GGTGGCCATGCCACCATCCCTTCTCCTCCTGAGATTGTGGGCATACATGCACAAGTGCCTGGCAATTTTTTCAAGCTGCTGAGTCCAGGACTCAAATTGGATAGTCAGCTGTATGGGATCCAGCTGCCTCAACCACACCACTGGCTGGCCCCACACCTCCTTCTAAATTTCACGGTGCCTGTCCCTTAGGTCTGGAGACTCTGGACCCACCAGAGTTAGTCTTAAGCTCTTCATTAGTCACAATGTTACTGTACTGTAATAAATAACTGGCACAAGTCAAAGGATGGTCTGTTGTTACAGAAACATGAAAAAAGGACAACTAAGCTAAGTAATCTAACCCAAGCTCCACATGGGAATTTTCTATGGCATCTTAGAAAGTTCTGACAGGAAAAAAATGACCAGAGTAAGTTTCCAAAAGTGAAAGACTTTGTCCTAAACCCATTTTTAATTTCCCATATTCTCCAAACATCTGAAGTTAAGCAAACCTAGGTTAGAATCTCCACTGAGCTATTTATTAGCTGCTACCTTAGGAACACTGCTTAACTTCCACAGTGATCAGTTCTTATCTGAAATATGATGACACTACCACTTAGCCTTTAGCATCAGTGTGTATCTCAAAGTATACAGAGTACCTAGTATACAGTAAATGTGCAGTACAATTAAACATCATGCAAGTGGCTGCCCTAAACTTCTCTCCACCACAGTTACCAAGAAAATTAATCTCCTCTAGGTTTTCCTTTAATTCCTCTACCTCTCTTTTTTCTTCTCCAGTAAAGGACTTGTCAGAAACAAAACAAATATTGCTTTACTGCTGTGCTCTCTTCCTAGCTCCTTAATCCCTCACTGCTGTATCCTGGCCTGACCTCTTTAGTCGCCTCTCCTGTGCTCCTCCCTGGTCAAGCCCTTCATGGTGAGGGTTTTTCAACAGCTCCACTTGTGCTGCTTCCTTCTTGATCACTTGTTCTTCCTCAATATCCCTGAAGTCATTACACCCAGATGGTTACCTCCTGATCTCTGGGCCTCTTAATGGCTGAGAGAGTTATTCAAGGCTCATCTCTAATCCCTTTGGTTTTCACCTGTGCCCATCTGCCATGGGTATTTTCCCCAAGGTTGAGCAAGTTTAAGTATTTCCCTCACTCTTCAGTGAGTTAAAGCATACTGTATATGTATCTCTGTACAATTCATCAGAAACAGAAATTCTGGGAACCAGCAGTTAGCGTAATGGCTATGTCGCTGGACTCCCACGTAGTCAACTGCGGTTCGTGTCCCGGACCCGGTGGCTTAAAACTCACGCCGGGCGCGTGTGCGTGCGTGCCCAAGATCCCGAGAGGAGAATGGAGGAGAAGGGATTGCGGCGTGACCATCCCCCCTGGGGGGTGATTTCTCGCTTTCTGTCTCTATGTCTCTCTCTGTCTGTCTGGCGAGCGCACGCGCCCTACAGTGAAAATCTCTCAAAAAAAAAAAAAAAAAAAACAAACAAACAGAAATTCTACCTGTAACTTCTCAATTTCCTCACTATACCTCAAAGCCTATACCTATAGGCCTTATTACTCCTTTACTCTCTACGCCCAAAGAATAACATTAGCTGGAATTCCCTGGATGTTTACTATACACTAGTAAGTACTTTATAGACACTTTTTGTAATCCTCAAAACACTATGTGGCAGGATCAGCAGATTGCATAGTGGTGCCGTCACTAGACTCCCAAGTGGCCAACTGCGGTTCGAGTACTAGACCCAGTGGCTTCAAAATCACACTGAGTGTGTTTGTGTGCATGCCCATGATCAAGGGAGGAGACTAGAGAAGGGTTTGCAGGGGGAGAAGGGATTGTAGCTTGGACATTCCCGCTTGGGGGGGATTTCTCACTTTCCCTCTCACTGTCTTCCTGCCCCCAGCACACATGCCCTAAAGGAAAAAAGCTCTAAAACAAAACAAAAAACCCAAGAGAATCAGCAGTTAGCATAATAGCTATGTCGCTGAACTCCCATGTGGTTGACCGCAGTTTGAGTCCTGGACCCAGTGGCTTAAACTCACACCGGGAGCATGTGCGTGCGTGCCCAAGATCCCGAGAGGAGAATGGAGGAGAAGGGATTGCAGTGTGGCCATCCCCCCTGGGGGATTTCTCGCTTTCTCTTTCTGGCGAGCGCAAACACTCTATAGCAAGAAAACTCTCAAAAAAACAAACAAAACGAAAAACACTACGTGGCATTTATTATGCATCTTTTACAGAGGAGAAAACCAAGACCAGGTAGTAGTAGAAGTTATATAAACAGCCTGAGACCACAAAGGTAAACATATACTCAAGCAGCAAAGGATAGCACAGAATCTTAACCACTGGAGTGTCTCTTAAAAACCAAAAAGAAAAGGAAAAAAATAAAGGAACAGTTCTCTAATCCCCAAAGGAAGTGCTGACCACTGCACTGGCTTTAAGTCATTAAATGCTTAGTTCACTAAGAAAATCCTTCCTAGGAACTAAGTCAGCAATTATCCCTTTCCTTCCCTTTGCTGAATGCCTGATGCACAAAAGATCCCAGTATCCAATTCTATTCTGTGCCTTTTATCTTTGCAAACCACCCATACCAAGATCTGCCAATCCTACACAGGCCACTTGGATTTGACATTTTTGTCCATTTCTTTGTCACACATGGGAGTGTCTGCTGTGTGGCAGATACTGCTACATGAGGGGGAAACAACAGTGAGTAAGAGTGACACTGATTTGAATAAGAAGTCTTTTAAACTATAGGTAACCTTCTGCCAATATGTCCTACCCAGGACAGCACAACTGCCTTTCTCTTATCCTACCACACGTCTGCTAAAACTGCAACAAAATATGGCACACTCTAAGGGTGGGGAGTCCTGGGGCTTAGCTAATAACTCATTCTCTTACAAGCAAGTCATTTTTTTCTAGGATTCAGTCTTCTATTAAACAATTCAGGTATACCAAGGATCTAAAAAAATTTAAAATTCTCAGACAAATGTTAAAGACTACCCAATGAAAATATCCTTTAATCACTTAAAGTCAACTTAATCTCTCAGTCACAGTCCAACCTGCTTGCTATAAACTGCATATTCAGGTATATTATATGTTCTCATGTAAGTTCTTACTGGGGAAATGACTTGCTTAGGAGGCAACGTGGTGTACATAAAAATGCAGAGGCTGCAAACTAGCAGCCGCCCCCCACACACAGAGATTCTGGCTGGTATAGTAACTAAGACTTCTGAGTCTGAGTACTTTCACACAGAGCACTACTCTAGTGCACCAAAATCTCACTCTCCAACACTCACTATTGTCTCTGGCCCAACCTGCTTCTCTCATTTTATTACCTACCAGGACCCTTAAGTTTGAGTTTAGAGTAGTTTGGACACTCCTATTTGACCCAATAGTGCCCTATTTTCCTTTGGTTAAAATATTTTTTTTAAAAAAATAATTATTTGTTTAATTCCATTTGGTTTTTTGTTGGTTTTGTGTGTAGGGGGGGGGAGAGGTTTTTGCTGTAGGGCACGTGTGCTCACCAGAAGGACAGAGAGACAGAAAGTGAGAAATCACCCCCAGGGCGGATGGCCACTCCACAATCCTTTCTCCTCCATTCTCCTCTCGGGATCTTGGGCACGCACGCACACATGTCCGGAGTGAGTTTATGCCACTAGGTCCAGAACTTGAGCCAGCGTTCGTCTACATGGGAGTCCAGTAACACAGCCATTACGCCAACTGCTGGTCCCTAATTCCATTTGTTATTTATTTTTTTATTTTTTTAATTTGACCAGAGAGAGACAGCGAGAGAGAGAAAGTGTAAGTGAGAAAGCAAGCTGCCAGGTCCAGGACTTGAACCGCGGTCGGCCATGTGGGAGTCCAGCACCTTAATCACCACACCACCTGCTGGCCCCTAGAATGTGTTTTTAAGAAAAAAGCCACGTCCGGTTTTTCTACCTAAATTTTCTATTTCCCCATACTATTCAATTGTCCTTATGGGCATTCAAAGGCCAAGCGGTCATCCTGTTTTTTTTTTTGACAGTTTTTTGCTATAGGGCTCCGGGCTCACCAGAGAGAGAGAAAGAAAATGAGAAATCACCCCCGCGCGGGGCCCTTCTCCTCCATTCTCTTGGGATCTTGGGCAGGCACGCGCACACACACCCGGAGTGAGTTTAAGCCACTGGGTCCAGAAATTGAGCCACAGTCGTCTACATGGGAATCCAGCGACACAGCCATTATGCTAACTGCTGGTTCCCTGCATCATTTTTTCTGAGTCTGCATTCTCTAGTCTTATCTACTTCCCTCCCAGACTGGTCCAGCTACTCTTGCCTTCTGCTTAGGCAATACCTCTACCTACCAAAGTAGTTCCCAGAGGAAGAAAAGCTACAGAAGTTGTGGCTGTAATATGTATGCTTAACAATAATAAACTCCTATATCCCTTTTGGTCAGAGCTTTCCTTTCCCAAAGCTAGCTCATTTTTCTTAATTAAGGTTCCTACTCAAGGCCCACCTCACTACCACAACACTGTAACTCTTTAAGTCATTAAATGCTGAAATGTCCTGCCATTTTCCCTTAACCTCTGTCTCAAAAACGACATACCTACAGTTTCATGGCTTTTTCTGCCCTCCTTCCCTAAAAACTGGTTCTGTGCTTGGTTCAGACACGTCTTTAAGTCCAGCCAAATTGCGCCAATGCGGCTGCTTTTGAGACCAAGCTTAAGGCACAGCAAGAGATTAATGAAAAGTTGCTGAACTGAACCAGGGTTCTTCCGGCTCCTGAGCTTGTCATTCTATTTTCCTCTTTTCGATGCTTTTTCGCAATGCCGGTGCCCAGCAGCACTCAAGCACACTCAGGACGGGGCAGGCTTCCCAAACCAGGGTTTTTGCATGACTGACTCGACGGGGTCTCATTTCCTCTTTGCCCTCTTTCCCACTCCGCGTTCATCGACAAACACGACTCACAAAACCTCTCGGAACCACTCTGGGCCGTTTCCAAATACGTCCTCCCGCCCCAGATGCGCCCTCACTCACCCGGACCCCCCGGCGGCTCGCCATGCGGCTGGGGCCCCGGGGCGCCGCCGTCCAGGATCGCGAAGGCCTCGTCGTTCTCAATGCCCGCAATCTCGCTCTCCTGCTGCGCCAAGAAGGCCGCGGCCGGGTCTTCCTCGCCCGCGCCCGCCACCCCGTTCCCCAGCGCGGCGCAGCCGT